TTGCTGCTGTTTTTTTTTTTTTTTTTTTTTTTGGGCAATGGAAACAAATTTCATAACCAGTTGTAAAAAAAAATTCACTTTATTGGACAATTTTTATGTAAAACAAAGACAAACGAATACTAAACTTTGATAAAAAAAATGATTTTTTTAGGAATTTTCTTTTTCTTTTTGACAATGGAAACAAATTTTATAACTAATTGTGAAAAAAAATATCACTTTAATTGACAATTTCCATATAAAACAAAGGCAACCGAATACAAAAAGATCCAAAATTTAAAAATTTTCCGGGTGAAAAATTATACCAATCAAACACACTTAGGACATGTCTGTTGTAGATTTTCTCCCCAATTAGAATTGATTTTCTTCCCGTTAAACCACAAGGCAGCCTACCATTTTTGAACTTTCCTCTCTAAGGTGACCCCCACCTGTTGACTTAAACGGTCTAATTTTCACTCAAATTTTGGAGAAAATCTCCAACAGACAGCCCTTAGTTAACAATTCCCTGCAAAACAATTTATAGGCAATTACTTTTCCTGGAATTCATTTTCTTTCCACCCATTTTCCACCCTTGCAATCAAACGGACCCTAAATGTACTTGTTCTACCATTTACATCAATATTACACTATTTCAGGTTCAAGGATATATTTCAGGAGGTATATGAAGAGAAGTGGAAGGAACAATTTGAAGAACATTCAATATGGTTGGTTTTATATCTTTGATGTACAGAAGCTTCATGTGCCTATTCACATTGTTTTCTATAACAGTTATGATTACGAAATCCATGCTTCCCATAGGTATGAGCATCGCTTGATCGATGACATGGTGGCTTATGCTATGAAGAGTGATGGCGGATACGTTTGGGCCTGTAAGAACTATGATGGAGATGTCCAGAGTGATTTGCTTGCACAAGGTGGGAATTCCTTTATAAATCAAGACATAAACAATAGAATTAACATGGCTATACTTTCTATATGATTTGCAATATATTAACTAATCCTGTAAGTTAATTATGATATGGCAAGTGTTTCTAATATTCATGTAAATGCAGGATTTGGTTCTCTAGGCCTGATGACTTCTGTTTTGGTAAGTGCTGCTTTGTCATATTTGTCTTTAGTCTCAAGGTATTTCATGTGATATTGATACAGTCTATTGTCTGTTTTGAAGTTGTCGGGTGATGGCAAAACATTAGAAGCTGAGGCGGCTCATGGCACTGTAACTCGCCATTATCGGTTGTATCAGAAGGGACAAGAAACGAGTACAAACAGCATTGCTTCTATATTTGCATGGACAAGAGGATTACAACACAGGTTATTTTTGTTCCTATAACAATCAACTACTTGATTTATTTTCGAAGCCTCCGGGGTATCATGAGGATATTGCTGCAATTATTTGAATCTGAACACCGAATCCTCTTGTGCAGCTTGTTTCTTTAGAATATTATGTTCTTAGTTAAGACAATCTGTGATGAAGTGTAATCAGTTGTTGGAGGAATTGCAAATTTGCATTTCTTTTCAATACCCTTGGTTGTTCCTGATCAGGTTGTCTAATCTCACTGGTTCTGGTTGTAGATTTGCACCCAAGTCATCCTTACATTGGAGATCTTATCAAAATTTTCTGGAAATTCAGTTATAAGATTTGCTTCTATGCCACATTCAATATTAAATATTGCAAGTTTTGAATGCCGCGTAAATCGTTCACCTGGTTTACTTGCCTTCTACCTTATGTGCTTTTTAAGAGCTAGGTGTCCCGTGCTGCATTTAAGCATATCCTGATGCTGATCAACGTCTTTATCAGGGCAAAACTTGATGGAAATGAAAAGTTGTTAGATTTTTCTCACAAGCTAGAAGCTGCGTGCATTGAGACAGTAGAATCTGGAAAAATGACCAAGGATCTTGCCATTTTGATTCACGGACCAAAGTAAGTGGTACCTTCCATGTTTTTGAAATTTGTTGATGATTTGACAACAAATGGTTATCATGATCACAATCTGAATCTTTGTAATTACTTGTATTTTTTCGCATTTAATTGAGACAAAAATATTTAATTGTTACTTTGGAATGAAAGAGCACCTAAATGAAAAACCATAATTTGCCCCGAAAGAAGAAATATGTAGTGTATGGTGGGGAGCCTACTGAAGTCAAGAGCCCTCAAAATATTTTAGTAGACGAGCCCTTAAATCACCCTAAACACAAAGGTTGAGTTTGGTGCACCATATTAGAGGAGATTTTAGTGTAAAATTAGAATAGATATTTAGTAGACGATGGTATTATGGTGGATTGTATTCCTTGATGTTTTAGTCAAACAAATGCCATTTATACTAGTTATCTTATCCTGTCAAACTATCTCCACCCTCCACATTATGTTATTGGTTCATAGTGCAAATTGCACTTTTTAACTAGAAGATATAATAATATTATCCATCTCATCCACTGTAATACATTCCACCAATTACTATCCTGTCAAATCTCGTTATACAAGCTAATACGGTGCAACAAACACAACCTAACTCGACTATTCTCAACACCGTAGTTAATTTAGCTTTTATTTGCTCTTGTTCCGGCTATTCATACCATCCATTCGTAGTGTTTTGATCTAAGATTTCCTTACCTGAAAGACAAGTTTGAAACCATGTCCTTGTTTGGGCTCCATTAAAAATGCATTTTGGGAAAAAATACATTTTTGAATAGTAATATTTTGGAGAATTTGTAGTTAAAAAATAAGGAAAAGTTTTGGATTTATGTGTAATATTATTTGATTGAGAAATGTGTAGTTGAAAATAAGAAAGAGAAAAATGTATTTTTGGAGAATGGAGGCCAAATAGGGGCTACACATTTTGAAATCATTATTCGGAGGGGATTCCGAATATGGTTCATTTTCGGAGGGTACAAGATTCTGATCCGCTTGCCACGACTCCTGTTCAACTTTCTCATAGTTGTTTCAGCGCGAATTATATTTATTTGCAGCTCCTAAGGGATCTGGTTTACATGCAGGGTTTCAAGAGAGTTTTACTTGAATACAGAAGAGTTCATTGATGCTGTTGCACATAATCTCGAGTCAAAGCTTCAATCACCATCGCTTGTTTAATGTGAAGATCTCCAGTTATTCTCTAAGAGAAGATAGAGTTGGGTATTGGACAATAAATTCTGAACCTTTCTAAATTATTGCGAATCAATTTTGTATTTCATCAGTTAATCACAACTGATGCGGGAATATGAGAGGAACAATGATGCAAGTTATGGATTCTTATATATCACATTGTACACTATGCAAGTTATTTTTAGAAGGTAAACTTTTTTTACGTGCAACTTATCATCTATGGATTTTTTGTTTCTTTTTTTTTTTAATACATTGCTTTAGACTTGATATAATATGGATTACCACTCCAATATCGTCGCGGATTATAGAAAGAAAATCAATTTAGTGTAGAGTTAAATTTACAAATGGTCACTGAAGTTCAAGTAAAATTTCAAATTGGTCATTAAGATTTTTTGGTGAGCTATTTAAATCTGAGTTGAAATGATGTTACATATCCTGAATAATAGATCTTCAAGATAAAAATGTGATTTTAAGAAAAAATTATAAAGTTCATATTCTATTCATATATCGTAATTGTTAGAATTTAAGTGTGACCCGAATTCTTTATTGAAGATAATTAGGAATTCTATTTGAAATGCTTTTGGAATCCTATTCGAAATTTATTTGACAAATTCTAGTTAAAATTATATTTGGAAGTCCTATTGGGAGTTGAAATTCTTGTTGAATTTTGAGCATTCTATTTCATCTACAACTCTAATTCTAGGATTTTGATTGTTCCATGTATATTTGACTCTTCTCTATAATTTAGTTGGGTTGGTTTTACCCCATTTATCGATTGTTAACCTCAATATAGGTTGGTTTAACTCTATTGGAGCTTTGTTTATCCCCCATTATTAGTTAGACAAATTGTAAATATAAATCATTGTAATTCTTTCTCCATATTTTAGTGAAATTTCCTTCATTCTGCAAATTATATTCTTCTTATGAATTTGTGATCTTTATTTCATATAATCTCGTATCGACTTCAAGAAATTGGTATCAAATTTATCCGTTATCTTTCACATTTCTCAACAAACTGGTATAAGAACATTCCAGCTTACAATAAACTGGTATCAGAGTTTTTGGTGTTGAAGTTTTTGAGAAAATCGAGGTTTTGTTCAAGTTAATAGCTCAACTTAATCTTTCGTGATGACAACAATAAAGTATGATATTTCGCTATTGAATCACAGTACAAGATTTTCAGTGTGGCGAATTGGGAGGCGAGCAACGCTCTCTTATATGGGATTGATTTTGTTGTGTTTTTGTCTGTTTCATATTTGTTATTTAAAGACACGATCTTATATAGTCGTGATCTCGCAATTGAAGAAGTTTATGATGCTCTATATTCAAAAGAGAAGATGAAGCATTTAGTTGAAACTAAGGCTCGGAAGATTAGCTTGTTCTTGATGGTGGTTGTGCAAGGGGCAAAATAAGATAACTTCAAAATTTATTGCAAGAATTTGGTTATTTAATTAAGGATTGCTATAAGTTGCAGAATAGAGAAAATTTGACTGTAGCTTTTCAGAATGGAAACCAATTAGACACTTCAGGTAAAGTCATTGTTGAAACTTTTCATAGTGATGTAGAACTTTTTTACTTATTTTAACTACTCTCCAAACTTGACGATGATTGAATTATTGATACAATTTGCACTTATGTATCTCAATTGGAATTCGTTTTCAACATATGAAACAATTTCGGAAAGTGTTTTGGTAATGGAAAATAATAGACTTTTTTGGATAGCTGGTATTGTTTGGGTCGGAATAAGTTGTTTGATGGGATGGTTACACTTGATGCAGTGAGACACATTACAGATTTGAAGAGAACTTTTATTTCTTTGGATACTTTTGTTTGAAAGGGTACAAGCACACTGGTGAAGGTCGAGTCCAGAAGGTTTGTAAAGGAGCCCATTTTTTATTATATGTCTTTCATTGTTATACAAAATCTTTGAGCAATCAACATGTTTTAAGAATTCAGGTGAATTTGGAGTTTGATTATGTACCGTTGGAGTCTAATTTGATGTCTTCTTTGAAGAATACATCTCAATTGAATTTAGAACTTATGGGTAAATCTATTTTGCCACCATTATTGGTGATCATTATATTCAGTTGCTAGTAACATACCAATTTTTGGCCATAAGACTCCACATATGTACAATTTTGCTAATTTAGTTGATGATTTGAATGCGATCAAATGTATTGAGTCTAACCAATATCTTCTTTCTATGTATTCAATTGTGATTTTGTTATGGGTCGTTGCTTCCCGTCACTCACCGGATGAATTCCGTCTTTAGCTCTGTCTAGGTGGCATACGGTAAATCTATGTGGACTGTTAAAACACTCCAAAAGATAAGATAATGGACATTGTATGTGGAATATTCCAAACATGGCCTTCCCAGTTCGATCTGGAATTTAAACACTTCTTCCTCATATCTCTAAAGAAAAACAGATACCAAGTATAGCAGAAGTGGACGTCCATGGAGAAGAGAAGGAGCCGGCACTCGAAAAAACTAAGGAAAATGCATAAAAAGATGAAACCAATATTCCAATTATCACAGTGGTGTAAAATCGATGGTTTCGCCTTAGGGTTTGGGTCTGGATTTTGGGGATTTCGATTTCACTTCACATGAACGGATTTCATCTTCAACTAATGTTTCTTTCAACCATGAGGAAGAAGTGGTGCTTAAATCCCGAATTGAGCTGAGAAGGGCATGTTTGGAAGAGTCATCCGCTGACGTAGAGATGACATGGCAATGAACTTAGCATTTGGAGTGATTTAACGATCGATGTAGATTTGTCGTCTGCCACCTAGACAGAGTCAAAGGAATTCATTATGTGAGTGACAGGAAGCAACGAACCTAAGTTCAGTAGCCACGGGGATGAATTTTAAGGTTGAATGAGTAAGACGTGACGAAATCTGTTCGAGAAATTTCGCAAGTGTACGGATCGTGACAAGTAATCAAATAGATTTCTTAAGTTCGAATATCGTCCCACAGAAATTACTATCTACTATAAATTTTTAAACTAACCTATCTTCAATTTAAATTAAAATATTAACTAATGATCAAATCATGTTTTCTAAATGAAGTTCTAATAAATAAAATAACAAATTCAAATTAAAACGGTAGAAAAGATTATATGATTGGATAGTTAGGATTTCCGATTTCACTTATGTTATTCATCATACATTTAATTCCAATTCATTCAACCATTTTTCATACGTGTTTACGATTGAATTAACCTAGTGTATTTAGTGATCTCTCTCGAGCAACACTAATCATATTCATATGCCCGAGCTTACTATATCTCTACGTAAATTCACACACACATGATTATACAACAAAATTTGATTTTAGGAAGTGTTTATTTACCGCATAATAAAAATGGGATATCATATGCCCGAACTTATTATATCTTTATATAAATTCACACACATATGAACGCATTTATCTATAGGAATTCAACAAAGATCGCACGGCCTATAATTATCTATCGATCTCTTATAACGTGTACGTTAATTATTACATGAGCTAGAATTATACATCACATCTCGGTCTCTGTATTATTCCTAAATCAATTAATTGTTGCGCAAACAAATAATAGCATTAAACACACAATAATTAATTAACAAGTATTAAAATGGTATGAAAATCTTGAAATTAAACATATAATAAAAGCTTTAAACTACATCATCAATCCTAACAATAAAAATACTTAGCCACTCATAACTTACCGGCCACGTGTGAATGTGTAAATATATATTAATCAATTCCGCCCATGTTTTTCCCACAATTCAGCTTTTTTTTTTTTCCAATTCTAGCCACTATAGTTGACTTTTCTTCTCTTTCTTTTATTTTTCTCAATTGGTCGCCCTCCTCCTCTCCTGTGCGTGAATATATTTTCTCAAAAACTGCCTCTCTTTTCTCTTCTTCCAAAACTGCCGGCTGTGTATCGTATATATATTGTAGCCAATGTGTGGTCCAATTTTGAAAGCTCAAGTTGAAGCCTACTAAATTCCAATACGAAATTAAATTTATTTTTCTTTCCAAATCCTCAATTCTTTTATGTAATGCAAGCTGGTTCTTAAAAAACAATTTTATTTGTGCAGCCTATGCCAATTTAGTCCTCGTACTTTGAATTTTGCTATTTTCCACTATTTTACATTTTTTTATTCAATTTTTCATTAAACATAAAGTTTTACCTACAAAATACAATTTAACATAAATTAGGTAGAATTTTATTCAAAAGATAATAAAATATCATAATTTAGAGCTTCGAATAAGTATAAAAACTACACTTATCACACCCCCAAACTTGACTTTTTGTTTGTTCTCAAACAAAATTAAAACCTAACAAACACACAAACATGCTACTAATTACCTAATTGGTAGCCAGTCAATAATCAAAGCAAAAAGATTTAGTTAGCTAACCTGACTTTTTAACTCAGGATTGAAATCATAATATTAAATCTAATCACAACTTCAAAATCACAATATGGAAATTAAAATCTACTTTTTCAATTTAAAATTGACGTGTGTGAGCGAAGAATTAAGCATAGCATTATAAATTTATAAGTTGTTTCAATTCTCGACCATCAATGGTCAAATATATTCTTTCATCACTCGTAAGATTCACACACACCCAAACTTATTCTTTTCACTCTTTTCAAGTGTGTGAACTAATGTTGAATTTTTTACTATCCTCACCTCTCTAATTTAGGTAAATCTCACTAATTACTAGTTAATATGACAATAAATATGGATTCTCCATAGTTTGATTGCTTCAATCTCTAGGACTTAATTAGACTAATAATCCCTTATCAAAGTCAATTTTTTTTTCCAAATAAGTGTTTAGGATACAACCAAGGCATTTGGTGTGTCTTATGTTTCATACACCTGCTTTTTTCGGATTTTCTATAATTTTTTTCCAATTTTTTATTTGAAGCATTCTCACCCTTAAACTTTCTAAATGACACGTGTAACAAACTTTCGGCCGATGACTCCTAAGTCA